AGGATTATGAAGAAGGGGAATTTATCCCTAATAAAATTCCTGAACCTATTAAGGAGGTTTAAATTTAAAATTTGGAGAAAGGAGTTTATTCCAACATTGCCTCTTCTTCCAACATTGCCTCTTCATCTGCTAATGTTGATTAGGATTCAAACACTAATAAAGAGGAAGGAGTTCTTAAGGAAAAAAAATGCAAAAGTTCCTTTACCTGAAACACCCATTTCCACTAGGGCTCAAGCTAATATAAAAATTTCCAATGATTAAAGCCCTTATTTGGAATTTGAGGGGGATTGGGGGTCGGATTCTAAGACCCCTATTAGAAACTTATGTCATGTACATAATATTCATCTTTTGGTTTTAATTGAACCTTTTATCTCTTCTGATAAAATTATTGATACTGCATCTCGTTTGGTTTTTAACATGAGTTTTTCTAATTCTTCTAATAAAATTTGAATTCTGTGGAAGTGTCACCTCAACATCTATGTCATCTCTAATTTTCACCAAGTTGTTCATGTACAAATTTCTTACTTCAATTTTATATTGAATGTCTCTTTTTTGTACGCTGCTTGTACTAGAGTTGGTTGACTCCCTCTTTGGGAGCTTTTATTAAATTTTGCTCGCACCTCTAATGGTCCTTGGTGTGTGGGTGGTGATTTCAATATTATCTCTAGTGCTAATGAAAGGATAGGGGGTAATCCCCCTAATGTAAATGCTATGGATGATTTCAATTACATGATTTCCAATTGCAACCTAACGGATATTGGTTTTTCTAGTAATACTTTTACTTGGAGTAGAGCTTCTATGTGGCAAAGACTCGATATATTTCTTTTTAATAATGATTATATAAGAGACTTTCCTCTGACTCAAGTTCTGTACTTGAGTAGAACTTTATCTGACCATGCTCCTCTTTTGATGAGCGTTTCTGATAATAAAATTATTGCTTCTTCAGCCTTTAGATTTCAAAACATGTAGATTCCCCATTCTGACTTTTTAAATATGGTTTTTAATAATTGGCAAGCCATTATCTCTCCTGACAATAATATTAAAGGCATGGCTCGCCTCTGGGCGAAGTTGAGTAGACTTAAACAAGTTCTTAGAAGATAAAATAAACATGTTTTCAAAAACATTTTTGCTAATATCAAGGAAGCTGAAGATCAAGTTTTGGAGTTAGAAAAACTGCATTTGAAAAACCCTAGTGATGATAATCTTTCCAATATAGATAATGCTAAAATTTAGCTTTTCCAATTACAAAATGAGGAAGAAATCTTTTGAAAACAAAAGGTTTCTACTTCTATGGTTTAGGAAGGGCATAGGAACACTTCTTTTTTCCATGCTTTAGCTAATAAAAATAGAATTAGAAGTCACATTTTTAGAATGTTTGACAATATCAGCTGTGTTTATGATTCTGATGAGTTAATTGTTAGTTCTGATGTGAATTACTTTAAAGAGATTTTTAATAGCTCTACTTTAACCATTCTTATTGTGGATTCTCATGTGATCCCTAATGTTGTGGATGAGGAAGACAATCGCTTACTCACTCAAATCCCTTTGGAGGATGAAATTTGGAGCACTGTTAAAATTATGAATAGCAATTTTGTTGCTGGTCCAGACGGTTTTACAACTAAATTTTTTGTTAAAACGTGGGATATTATTAAAGTTGTTGAGTCTAGTAAATAGGTTGTTAGACCTAAATTAATGTCCCAAAGCTTCCAAGAGGGGGGGGGGGGGGAATTGGTATTTAAAAATTTTCCCTCTTTGATAAGTTTAACCGAATTGAAATTTAATAAATTTTTATAAAAAGTTTTTCAGCCACAATTTTAAAACACTAAATTAAATGCAGAAAATAAAAAATAGTAAAAATAAAAGAACACACGATTTAGGGGGGGGTGAATTGGTATTTAAAAATTTTCCCTCTTTGATAAGTTTAACCGAATTGAAATTTAATAAATTTTTATAAAAAGTTTTTCAGCCACAATTTTAAAACACTAAATTAAATGCAGAAAATAAAAAATAGTAAAAATAAAAGAACACACGATTTATAGTGGTTCAGTCTAAACCAGACATACATCCATGCCCCAGAGGCATCCTCTGAGTATTGCACTAATACCAATAGTGTCTCTCCTTTTGCACCCACAGCAAGGAGGAGAAGTCTTTACAATCACTCTTTTCACCACTACCCGGTGCGGTATAAAACCTTCATCCCTTTACACTTTCACTGGTGTTGGCAGAGAACCATTGTCCTTTTACACTTTCACTAGTGAGGGTAGAGAACCCTTCGTCCTTTCACACTCTCCTAGTGTGGGCCGAGAACCCTTCGTCCTTTCACACTCTCCTAGTGTCGGAAGAAAACCGAACCCTTCATCCTTTCACACTCTCCTAGTATGGGCAGAGAACCATTCGTCCTTTCACATTCTCCTAGTGTCGGCAGAGAACCGGATCTCCTTGAAAGATCTTCTCACATGAAATCTAGAAAGAAGAAAGAAAAGAGTGAACAAATCCCAAATCACAAGTAGAGATTCTTACCTTTGAACACCAAGTGAAACCTTCACGCACCAGTGGTAGGAATCCTCCTTTGAATACTCTCTCACACTCTCCTTGACTTTTCTTTCAATAGGCACGAAGATCAAATGGCAAAAAGATTGGGTGGCAGTCTAATTTGAACTATATATACAAAAGACAAGAAAAATCGCTCAAAAACTGCAAGTTTTCAATTCTGTACGCAGTGGATCGTCCTGGACGATTTTACATAAAGTGTCGGAAACGAACCTAATGTATATTGGTACGAATTATGTTCGTACACGCTCATCGTCCCGTACGAACTATGTTCGTCCGGTACGAAACGGTTATTACATAGGTCGATTCCCAAAAATTCTACAGGACGTAACCAACTGACGTAAGTTAGTTCAGTTCGTCCTAGGACGAACAGGTTTCGTCCTGGGACGATTTTAAACAGAGAGTTTCGTCCAGGGACGAAAATTAATTTTATACAGAGGGTTCTGTCCAGGGACAAAAATTAATTTCATCATGTGCGATCTCATACAGAGAGTTTCGTCCTGGTACGAAGGTTCATTTCGTCCTGTACGATCTCATACAGAGAGTTTCGTTCCGGTACGAACCTTATTTTTCGTCTGGACGAACAGTGCAAGAGAGGATCCCGAGAAGTTCGTCCTGGGACGAATATTAAATTTGTCCTGGACGATTAGGACTTAGAAAATTTTCTCCTCGCACGTTCAATCCATTACTCTCCTGAGGGGTTGATTGACATGATCGTCCCGTACGAACCAGGTTCGTCCCGTACGATCAGTTCATAAAAATTATCCCCTAATAGTGTGTGTTGTGATTTTTCACTCAATTACAATCACTCTCTTTCTTTAAAAACTTATGATTTACAAATGAATAGTTTGAATCTTCATCACTTGGAGTTGATTTTCCTGAAATGTTAGTACACACTAGAGCAAAATTAAAACTTTCAAAAAGTGTTAGGAAATATATAAAAACAATAATATTTGAAATCATCAAAATAATATAAGTTGCAAGAATATAAAACATGCAAATAGCAACACTCTCTACAAAAGTGGATGTTTTTGATGCTGTGATTGACTTTTTTAATGGCAACCCTTATCCTAAATTCTTTTCTTCCACTAATATTGTGCTTATTCCTAAAAATGATTCTACTGCTTTTTGGAATGATTTCAGACCTATTATTTTGTGTACTTTTTTTAATGAACTTGTAGCTAAAATCATTGCTACTAAATTAATGTGTATCTTACCGAGATTTATCTCCTTCAACCAAATTGGGTTTGTGAAAGGTAGGAGTAAATTTGATAACATTTTATTGGCCCATGAGATGGTTCATGATATTCATATTAAAGTTACGGGTGGTAATCTTATTTTTAAACTCGATATTACTAAAGCTTATGATAATTTGAACTGGCTTTTTCTTTACGAAGTGCTATATCTGTTTGGCTTTAATCAGGCTTTCATTAAGCTTATTAAAAATATTATTGAAAACTATTATTTTTTATTATCATTAATGGTCAGACTCATGGCTTTTTTAATTCTGAGCATGGGTTAAGACAAGAACGTGTTTTTGCTACTCTTCTTTTTTTGGATGCTGCATTCTCGCAGCCCTAGAATGTGCTTAGGTTTTATTGTAATCTTTAAAAAAAGGGACCACCAGCTCTTAGGTTTTATTTTTCTTTCTAATGTAGCTCTTTTGAGCATTAGCGAGCTGGATGTGCCTTCTAAGGACATTGTAACGTCTTTTTTGAATATTAACGCGTAGGCCCCTCTGAGGGTTTTAACAAAAGAAAAACCAAGAAAAAGAAAAGAGTTTAGTAAAATAGAAATACTTAATTAGATCTTGAGTGTTAATTATAACTCTTTACAGACTTTTGATAAAAATTATAACTTAAGCATAATACACTTAGCATAATACACTAAAAGTTCCATTGTAGGCTCTATTAGTGATTAATCTTTTTAAATATCTAAACACGTTAATTATCATCTTGATATATTCTTAACTTTACTCTAATCACATATAAATGATACAATACTAAACAAAAATATAAGAAATAGAAATTTGTTAACTAGTAATTTATCAGGCATAAATTTTTCAACGCTCGACATTTAAATTCATTCTATATTTCATACTTCCTAAATTTTACCACCATATATCTGACAAAAAAAGAAAAAAAGCAGCTTAATTTTTCTATTAAAAAAAATAATCTACGCCTTATCTAACAGTTGTTTTCCTTTTTATCCTTATCCAAAATAGATAAATATATTTATAGCCGACTTCATTGAAAGTCAGGAAATCAACAGCCGTTCATAAGCAGATCGTACGGCAAGAAAATAGCTATCTTGTTATCTCGGCACGTCATAAATAAAATGCGCCACTGCATGACATGTGCACCCTAACGTGGCGACACTCCACCGTAATGATCGACCTATATAATGACCAACGCTACTCTGAATCCCAACACACAATCTTCAATCATTTCTGTTTCTACCAATTGTGATTAGAGTGAAATTGCAAGTATCCGTTCATAATGGAAGCCGCTAAGGAGAAGGTCTCGAACATCTCTGCAACAGCTAAGGCTGGCTTGGACAAGACGAAGGCCACAGCTGAAGAAAAGGTGCTTTCATAATCATCATATTACCTTTTGTTTGACCGGTTTTGTATTGTTTACTTCCAAAAAGCTGAACTTTGCCTGCTAGATAGGTTTGTTAATTAGGCACTGTGAAGTATTATATGAATGGTTTAGTTTGTCGAGTGCCAAAATTGTGGAAGTCACTTTTGTTTAGGCGATTAAAAGAGCAGGTTTTGTGTATGAGATTTATCGCTCATTATTTTATACTGACTCAAATCTTCCTCTCCTTTTTCTCATGATTAGCCCTTCAACATTTGTTTTTCTTCTCATTTACTTAAAATAACAGTCTTCAGTACCGAGTACAACTTGCACTCTTTTTAACTACTTTTCAAGACATTTTTCTATGTAGAATTTTTTGAGAATTAATGTAGCTATTTATGTGTGTAGGTCGACAAAGTGAAGACAAGGGATCCGCTACAGAAGGAAGTGGCGGAGGACAGAAAAGACCAGAAGATTCATCAAGCTGAGTTGGAGAAGCAGCAAGCGTACGAGCAGAATGCTATACATAAGGGAGAAGCTCATCACACAGGACTCGGGCACCAAACTGGCCTGGGCGGGCACCACACAGGAGTTGGGCAGCATACCGGCTTGGGTGGGCACCACACTGGAGTTGGACACCATACTGGCTTAGATGAGACTACTGGTGGCGCAACTGGCTTACACAGTACTAATGCACCAATTACAGACACTAATAAACACTTGCCTGGCCACCACACTGGCACAGGATTGTAGGAAGGCACTTTATGCTCTTCCTCGGGTGTATTACAACATGGCTTTTTAAAGTTATACATGCAATAAATAGGGTGAAAAACTTTGGTATTTAAGCTTGTCGGCTTTTGCATCCCTGAACTTTGTTTGGAGTGACGGTGTGTATTATTTATGTTTGGTGTGAAATTATTGTATCGTGTTGGTTTTTCTTATTTCTACTGTAATCATGATGATTAGTTCGTCTGTGTAATAAAGAATATATTTCAATAAAATACATTCTCGGCGACACATTTTTTATGTTGGATTGATTTAAAAAATAAAAAAACCAGCACAAAAGCAATAGACATTTTAATTGAAGGCGATGCATCTCTTTCTTTTTATTTATAGGTTTAGTGGTATGAGATGGTATGGTGGGAGAGCACAAACCACAAGTGTACCACTGGGAGTAGCAACACAAGGTCATTGTGTGTTTTTGGGTGGTGCTGGTGATTGAGTAGATTCCTGACTTTGTTTTCACTTTTGGTAGTAATAGATATTTGGGTAAGCATATCGAAGTGGAGGGTGTGAGTTGAGGGTTGGCCTATCAGTAGTTGTGGTGAATCTGACGTGTGATGGGGCTAGTGGGCTCCAAAAATTTGAGCCTCTTTTGAGGGAGTTTGAATGAATTAAGATCCATGGTAGATTTTCATAAGGCAAATTGTATTTGAAATAAGTCATTACCTAGAAATTTCACCCTCAATTTATGAAGTCCTTATGATCTAAGTTCTGATTTACTATATAAGGAAGTCCCTACAATTAATTGCCCATTCCAATCACGAGAGAACTTTTGATTAAAGCTAGTTGTCAGTTGTCACACGTATACATGTTTTTGGCATGCACATAGTAGTAGCATAAGTTTGAGGGTTAGAGAGTGAGAGTTTGATATTTAAAATTAGAAATTTTAACATCTTGTTTTTAAAGCGGATGATGAGGGAATGAATGATAGACTGGTTCCCATAGTTTCATTGTCCTTGGTTATCATTGTCCCTAGTATACTTAGTCAGAGGAGGTAGGCGACACAACCTTACAAAAAAATCCTTGACGGTAATGATGGAAGGATCCTTGTCGGCAGTGATATGATGAGTTGTATCATCTAAGGGTATTTTGTAGACCTAGGGTAGGTGTTTGTCTAAGGGGATAATTTGAATCCTCCTTAGTTGATAGAGGGGTTTTTGCCCTATCAATTATATCCTATTATTCATATTTCAAGGATTTAGTGTCATTGAAGAGCGTACATGCTCTAATCATGACCATAATTTAGTTGTGCAAGATTATCCGATTCAGAGGGCTTCTGATATAAGCACTTATATGCAGTTTTTTCGTGGAAAAAACCCATGCCACGTCTTTTTGGAACGAGATGATTTGAGAATGAGTCTTAGCGATATTCTCAACTAGACACTAGTTTTTTGCAAGCTCAAGTGCATTTTTAAATTTGTCGAGCTCGACAAATTATTACGAAGAGTGAATGAATTTTTTCTTAAGTTTAATGATTAATTTCAATTTTAAATATTTTGATGAGTTTTGATATTATAGGATTTTTAAATATTAGTGTACATTTGTGGATGAATTTTTACTTTAAGAGTTTAATGGTTAATTAACGACATAGGATCATGTTCAAGTCAATTTTACACTTATTTTAATGAATTCTCTTGTTACAGACCTTATAAAATCTAACATAGACGTATAAAATAATTATCTAGTTCCATATCACAATGTATATTTGTTTGAGATTTCAAGCCGCATTGACCCCTATCTACCAGTATATAAGAATTGGGCTTGAACTTTGGTTTATTTTCTAACTTGCGTAGCATCACTAGATATCACGTGTGTCCCATAACATGCTCGTCGGGGCCTATGCAAGTATGCTATTGCATGTGCATTTTCTTATGCTTATGTGTATGCATATTGTAGTGCTAATATAGGGGCATTTTTGGGTATATGAGCGTTATTTTTTGGTGTCTCATATAAGTTTGTACTTTTTGTAGTATTTTAACATTCTATGTATCATCGTCTAAAGATAGATCATCTATTTTGGCCTGTAAGCGCTTGCGTGCACTGCATATCTTTTGTCCATGCTTGCGATAAATCAACGTATTTACTAGTCATTGAATGGTGGTCGATTGTTGGGGTCCCGTTATAATTATTGTGCATCGACTAATCTCTCTTGTAGGAGTTCATGTTGCAATTTAAATTTCAAAACTATATTTTTATATAATATAAGTTTTTGATGATTCCAAAATATTATTGTGTTTATTATTATTTCTCCTAATATATATTAAAAAAATTATTTTTGTTATTTGTGTGTACTAATATTTCAGAAAAATCATACTCTAGACTGCTGAAGACTTTAAGACCGATTAGATTAGGATTTATTGTAATTTAATTATGTACATTTTATATTTTTTTTAGTCTGAGACAGTGTGATTGTAATTGAGTAATCGTGCACAAATACACTAGGGGAATAAAAAAACTTATATTTTTAAAATTAATCGTATTGTATAATTATGGATAGTACTGGATGATTTGACCTGAGTGTTCCTCCAGAATGGAGTTGATCAAATCATGCCAAGAAAAATTTTCTATGTCATGTTCATACTGTATGAAATTATATTCATATAGATAATGTTCAGAGTATAAAATGGCTATGTACCTTTTCATCCTGAATGAAATCAAAATTTTTCTGAATTGATCGTATTGTATGATCATAGGTTTGTACATATGAAGTTTAGAGTATGAAATGGGTACGTACCAATTAATCCGGCCATATGAACATGTAAATTTTATGAATTATTCATATTATACGATCTGAGATTTGTACAGTCAATGTGCAGAGTATGGAATGGACTCATCCATTTTCATACCAAATGAAGCTTAATTTTGGTTAAACTAATAGTACTGTACGATATTAAATTCATATAGTATGCTATCCATAGTATAAATCGATTCGTACATAATTGGACCGGATGAATTTGTTCAATTTTGAACACTACAGGAAAATCAATTATTTCTAGCTGCTTTTTTCTGACAGTTTTGTAAATTTTTTGCAGCTTTCTGACGGTAAATTTTTTGTCAAAAAAACACGTGCCAGAAAAATATTTCCAACGGTTTTTTACGGTGGTAAATATTATCGGCGATTTTTCTGCGGCAAAAAAGTCGCCAAAAAAGTCACCATAAATAATTAAAATTTAATTAAAAAAAATCTCTGCCCTGCCCAGAACCTCTGCCCTACCCGGCTACCTAGCAGGCGGCCTTCCCGCGCTAGCTGCCAGCCCAGCTCGAGCTGAGCTGCCCGCTCAGTCTCCCGCCCTGCCTACCGAGCTCCCGACCTGCCCGGGATTCGAACTGAATACACTCGGTTGTGCTAAGTCTCAACCATTATGCTGAGAGGAAAAATGTGTTATATTTCATATTATAATTTATTTAAACTATATCATATTAAAATTATGATTACAAATTAATAAAAAATAAATATTAAAGTTAATAATTAATTAAATATGTTATTTAATTAATAATTAATTAAAATAAATTACTAATTAATTAAAATAAATTAATAATTAATTAAATTAAATTAATAATTAATCAAAATAAACTAAAAGTATTAATTAATTAAATTAATAAAGAAAAATTGCTGGAAAAGTAGGAAAAGTAGCTGAAAAATCACCGTAATTTTTTTTTTAAAAACATAGGCCATTAGAAAATAGGCCGCCGGTAATTGACGATTTTCCTGTAGTGAAATTGATCGTACTATACGATGTTAGTTCATAAATACACTATCTAGAGTATAAAATTAATTCATATATGATCGTACAAGCATTTTTTGAAATGATCATACATATGATGTGCGATCGTACTGTATATTGTGCGATCGTACTATACAATTTGTGATGATCAAATTGAATTTTTTAATTTTCTAAACAATTTTTCGTGTCATTCATATTTAAAGTCTTGAAGACTAACTGACATAGAACTCCTATGAATTCGTACTGCTTATTTACTTTGAGAGTGCAATTGAAGAGTGTTTCGGAGAGTTTCATGTGATTGGAGATAGAAATTTCTTAAGAGGGAATTATGAGGGAATTCACAAGGTTGCCCAATGGTAAGTTTCTCTTACTTGTTCTTCAAAGTTCTTACCTACTTTCTTGAAGTCTCTTGGAAGAAGATTATCAAAGGAGCGTCAATACTCTACTGATATCAGGAGGGTGTGAAAGGATGATGGTACTGGCAATACTTGGAGGGTGTGAATGGACAACGGTAATTTACTGACATCAGGAGGGTGTGAAAGGACGTCAGTTCTCTACCATCACAAAAAGGGTGAAAACGAATGATGATACTCTGCCATATCGAGGATTGGAGGAAGAGAGGTTAAGTGTAAGGGTTTCTCCACCTTGTTTAGATAACTTTTTAAAAATGATTATGGCCACTTTTGAAAATCGTAACACACCCGAAGGATATTCGATTAATAGACCCCCATTGTTTGATAACATCCCTTTCAATTCTTAGAAAACACGTATGTCTACTTTTCTTTAATTGCTTGACTATCCCATGTAGATTTTAATACATGAAGGATATACTATGCCAACTAGACTTGTAGATGACATTAGAATTGAAACACTATTTACTAACTAGACTGTCAAAGAAAAAAAAACTTAGCTCAATTAAATGTTAAATATTTGAACAATTTTTTCTATGCACTTAAATTTGAATATATGTGTGTCTCTACCTATAAAACTGGAAAATAAATTTGGGATAGACTTTATATCACATATGAAGGGACTAACGAGATGAAATAATCTAGATTAAATATTTTTCTACATGATTATGAACTATTTTGCATGAAACCAAATGAATCAATCACTAATATGTATACATGTTTCACACAAATAGTTACCTCATTGCATGCTTTAGGTTGAGAACTAATGAATATTGAGAAAGTAAATAAGATTTTTTTTATTTGTCTACTACTTTTGATGCAAAGATAACTACTTTAACGGAGTCAAAAGACTTAACTATTCATTCTATTGACAATCTTCTTGAATCACTAATTGTTTATGACTAAGGAGCGACTCAAAGAAAAATTGATGCATGTAAGAATCGAAAGGAAAAAAAACATAGCATTGATAGTGAATGACTTGAAGAGTGATCAATCTCAACCTAAGGATGAAGATGAGATTACCTTGATGACAAGACAATTCAAAAGTTTTTTAAAGAGGAAGCAAATAAGACAACAGTAGTGGAATAAAGGTAAGTTTCATAAAAAT